GGTTCTAGCGAGCAGGGAGGGCTAGACTCACCCTCAAGGGACCCATACCTTCTTGCTGCGGCGCACCCGCCGCGAGGCGTGCGTAGTGGTGGAGTTGGGTCGGCACTGGTGCGTCAGGTACAAAGGTGCAGATGCGCGGGCCTCCAGGCCGTCGGTGTAGGCAGCAATGCCCATCTCATCCTTGTGCGCGGAGGCAGACGTCATCAGAAAGGAAGGTGGACGGGCACTATGTACACGGCCCTAGGTTTGCTAGAGGGAGCTGTACTGTCTCAGTAACCTGGTTTTGCCATTAAAGGAGGAGGGGACAGGTTGTGACGAGCTGATTGGGCTGGTTGACCCTTCGGCGCGAGAATCTTCAGACCAAAAACCCTAAGTGCAACGAGGGAGAAAGCGAGGAACCGACTGGGAAGGACAGCAACGAGAGCGTGTACGAAGCGGAGCGGGTCGAGCTTGGTCGTTGTAGGACTGGCCACAGCGGCACCGGAGCAGCGGCACCGGAGCAGCGGCACCGGAGCAGCGGAACCGGAGCATGCAGACGGCACCGAACGGCGGCGCACGGACAAACATATCATGTGTTCAATTATTTTCCGTTTTTTTTTAATGTGAACAACAACAGACTATAGACTGGGTGTTAGGTGTGTGTGATGACGTCACTGGTTTTGTAGAGAGACGCCGCAGAGATGGCGCGGATAACCCGGGTGCCTTAATCTTGTACCTGCATCGTGGAAGACCTCTTCAATGTGGAACGATTCCTAGTCAGTGTCGATGTTTGCACTGCTGTGCCTAACACAGATGATCTGGATAGATTCGGGTGATTGTCAACCACAATGAAGACAGCACTTCAGACAGCAGTACGCTGTAGCCGACAAACATTCATTTCGTTTGAATGCGGGACCAGGGGGGTGATGCTGCTGCTGTAGTCGAATTGTAGTTTGTGGGCGTGTAGTTCAGTTGTGAGCACGCAAACGTGCTGCAGGGATTGTAAGTGTACCTCCTCGGGCTTGTGTACCCTTTTCTTGCTAATAGTGTGTGTGTTCTCTAGATCTTCTGGTGGCTCTAGCATTTTTGAAACCACGGACCGAGTCTTAACTAGATTTTCAACTGACACGAGTGTAATGTTGACAAAAACAAATCTAAAAAAATAGAGTATGTTTTGCGGGGGCGCCAGTTTCCGTCGATTATGCAACACAGCGCGGAAGGGAGACAAGCCCACATCACGATGGGCTTTTCTTGGACGGGTCTATGCGCGCGACGTTGAAAACCTTCCCGGGCTGAGTGCCCTGGTATCATATCTACCACTTCGAAGTGTGTGTATCTTGCGTGTCGACAAAAGAACCATTGTTGCGGAGAGGGCCAAAAGAGAAAAATGATCGCGTGTTCTCGAGCTCGCGGCCGGCGGCGCCTAGAGATGTCTATATCGCGGCCAGCACGGTCAGCAATCGGTGCGCATAGTCCCGCACGATTGATCTGGGATCCAGGATCCACGTAGTATTTGGGAGCTGCGAGCACGCCCCGGCGTGAACTTGATGTTCCTTCCCGCTGTCAAAAGGGTCAGAGAAGAGTGTTGTACAACTGAAAATCTCCGATGACATGCAAACGAGCAACCAACTCACCAAACCCCTTCGATCACGGCAACAACTACGAAGTTGAAAAGGCGCACCTGAGGACCAGTGCCGAACAGAACTGAAGCCTTGTTTCCCATGATGGATGCGTGCGTGTTGTGTTGCCTTTCTCACTCTCTCAAGGATCGTCGCACCAGCTATTGCATGTGTATTGACCTGGCTCAAACGGTCCAGTTTGGGCCACCCCACCAAACACTGCTGTAAAAAATGGACCAATAACCAGAAACGGGTATACCCGGGTACTTTATTACCACGTTAGGGTACAGTTAGAAATCAACACGCTTGCACCCCCAGGCTGTCAGCTTGGCCGAAAAACCATTGTATCCATTTCTGAAGAAACATCCATCGCGTACAACTTCCGTTGGAATTAGGACCCTATGGTGTGACCGATCTTGGATACTGGTGTACCCAGGAGGAGGTCGATTTGCACCCAGAAAGAGTTGTGCTTAGACATTGATTGTAGATCTTTAGGACTAACGCGTTCTGATTGGTCGGGCGTTGTTTGGCGATGGTTCTGGCGGCCAATTCCTCTCCAGCGCCTTCTCCCCGTTCAGCATTCCGAGCACGCGGTGCAGCCGCGTGCCGCCCAGTTCGCGGCTGCTAGGCCGTGCTTTGGCTGTGGGTGAGGGTCAGGGTGAGGGTCAGGGTGAGGGTTAGGGTTGTGAGCGACGTGGCCTTGCTCGCGTGAAGAACCTAGCCTTGCTGCGTTCAACATCGGTAAGTCCTCAAGAGTTACTACTATCACAGCCTCCAGTAAATCTAATTCCTCGGATTTAGTCTATTCGTAGAAATAGTATTTAATTACTCAGAGACGCACATGAACAAATTTACATATTATGCGACGGCCGGAGGACAGAGAGTATTTGATTGCAGTCGACCCCGCACCACGTTTTCCCAAAAATAAAGTGCCTTTAACGCGGGGAAGTGTCTTATCATTCCGGGGCCACTAACAACGCACCATCCCCGGGGCCAATGAAGGCAAAACATATGTCAAAAGGTGCGCATTCGCAGCAGAAAGGCGACCACAAGAGGTGTTGTTTGAAACCTACGACACAAGGTGATTTGAAGGTCGCAACCACTGCTGCTCTTGTGCTGCAACGCATACTTGCATGCCATCGTTTGAATTTCCCCGTACTGTACCACCAAAACGCTGAAAGCGATGAACAACATATTCGCCTGATTGAGAGCGAAGTATCTGATTGAGAGCGAGAGCCAAAAAAATTGAAATTTCGGGTCCAGACGCCTCTTGCCATTTCTTGGCAAGTAGGGGACGGGCTATTCCAAGAAGCGGTGCAAATTGAAGGTCTCATCAGCAGCTTCGCGAGCATATGCGTGTCATCGTCATCGGATGCTGCAGCGAGGAGCTAGACAAGTTGCTAGATTTGCCCAGATTGGCTATTTCTGCTCAAACTGTTTCAGGGCGGTATCGCGTCGGGCGGTGGGCTCTGCTGTAGCTTCTGCTCCCCGCTGTAGCTCCACAACGAGAGACTCCCACAGGATGACCAGGGTAGCGGCTTGAAGCTACGGGCTAGCCCTTCAATTCAAGCTACACAGCAAGCTCCACCTCTCAGTGGTAGTCCGGCTACAGCGTATCGCGCAATCTCGCTCTCAATCAGATGCTACGCTCTCAATCAGGCGAATATGTTGTTGATGGTGTTCTACGACCTACTACGCATCGTACATCTACACGACGGTGGTGCGCTGGTGTTGATATGGGCTTAATTATTTATTTGCTTTATTGTATTTTTTAAGCGTGGTCCTCCCCGTGAATATCTTGCCCAAGATCTCGCTACCGCACCTGAGAAATATCGAAGGTTGTAAAACGACACGTGCCATAATAGAACACACCCGACAAACAGAGTTCCCCTAAATATTCCGTCTATACAACTTCCCAGCATAACATACACATAGATACACAAGATGGCTACCAAACTGCCTTGTTGAGCCTGTTACCCACAGGGGAGATATCCCTATATGCTGTCTGGGAAATCGTAGACACACAGGTAGTTTTCTCTGACGCTATGATTCCATTGTTAATCTGTCTCTGACTCTNTCACGCTATGGATTCATTGCTAATCTATCTTACTTAGACTTATTTCTATAGATAGAGATGGATGGATTTGTTGTGTGATATGAAGAAGAAAAAAAATAAAAACACACTTCTTAAGAAAATATATAGGTTACGCAGAAACACAGAGACCAAAAATGTCGGGAAAGCACAGCGACAAACATGACACCGCGCCTCCCAAAGGTCAAAACGAGGCACAACACAACAAACACCAACGCCAAATTCAACCTCACGAGACTTCACCGAAGGCAAACAACGAACGTTGGCAATAACAGTGCTTTGCTCTCGGAACCAAAAACTATGCCCGCCACTGATGGACCAGTGACACCAGTGCAGATTTGAAGTGGCACGTCGGTTCGCCGCATGGCTTCAAGCCGGCAGCAGACGAACCGCTAGCAGATGGAATGAATCTTTCCATACACCCACATAGGCCTGTCCTCCATCGGCCGTTTTGCTTGTGTGACGGAGAATAAGAAGAAGGTGGAATTACTTGAAATTAGTATAGAAATAAAGTTTGTGTATCTAAATCGAAAATAAAACGGCCGATGGAGGACAGGCCTACACCCACACGCAGTGTGCGGCTTCAGCAGACCGCTGTTGACTATTTGCAATCTATGGATTACAAAAGACAACCACAGTCCAAACATCCAGACGGGTCGAACTCCCGGGAAATCGCCCCCGAAGAGGTTCTCACTCTCAAATTCAAAATTATCTTGGAGCCTGGATCTAACGCCCGTAATCTTCGGAAGAACTCTCGTCTGCAGCAACAGCCCCAACAGGCCACACTTCACACCCGGAATGCCCAGGAGACGCTAGGCCTCAGAGGACACGACCACACACAATGCTCCGCACTCAGGGAGTGCTCATCTCTCTCTGTGTGTCTATCCGCGTTTGGTGGTGGTGGTGCTGCTGGTGTCGTTCAAGGCGTTCCGAGTGCTCAAAGATCACTTCCTACCGTTGAGCCAGAGTCAGATTCGTGTGCAAGAGGAGAAACTCAAGTCATTGCGCATGCGTTCGAATGAGAATCCCTCCATCTTCTTTACATCTATGAGAGAGACGCTTGGTGTGCTTCAGATGCTGGAAGTTAAGAAAGATGACAGAGAGGTATGCAACCTGATGCTCGAGGGATTGTCACATGAGTATAAGACCCTGCGTGAAACTCTGGTGGTGTTCTGTCCGAATGAACCGTCGTTCATAGAGACTAAAGTGCGTGAGAGGTATCTCGACTTGCTGACTCAACCTGGTCCGAAGAAACACAGTGTTGCACTCATGTCTAGACCTGTGAGGAAGAGTGCGAAGAAGCAGAACCAGAAGTCAAAGTCTAACTCCGAGTCTGATTCGTCTAAGAAAAAGATTTTTCAGGGGAAGTGTTTCAAGTGTGGGGAGAAGGGTCACTTGAAGATGGACTGCCTGGCTCGTGTGATAGCTCATCCCTCTCAGACCGGACCATCCGAGGACGACAAGGATGAGAACGGTGAGAAGTCTGACTTGGTGTTGTTGTTATCTCAAGCCAACTCAAGCGAATGGAGTGGTGGCAAGTACATTGCAGCAATGTATGCCAAAATCATGCAGAAGTGGCAGGAGTCCCGTGAGCAGTAGAAATGATGCTGTTTTGGAACACCATGATACCATGCATCTTGAAGCGTTGTATACCGAAGCAGAGGATGAGTTGAAGAAGTACGTCGGCAGTGACCGTGTTGTCCGTGATTCTATTCGCGAACACTCCACTCTTACGAAGAAGGATAGATGCATCGAAGATTGGTATGCGGACACGGGTACAGCTTTCCACATGACAGACTCTCTCTCTTGCATGAAGGATGTGAAACCTTGCCACAAGAAAGTAAAAGGAATTGGTGGCGTAACTTGTGAGGTAGCACTATCAGGAACTCTTGAAGTGGCGTTTGTGTCTGCTGACAGCGAGTTTTCTGCAGAGTTGAAGAATGTGCTATATGCCCCCAAGTTAGGGTACAACCTTTTCTCTCCCAGCGCAGAGTTTGATGGCGAGTCATGGAATGGCCTTGGTGGTCCTGACGGTGTGATGACTGCTTTCCACGGGCATGTTACTTTTCAGAATTTCGATGGCATGCTTGTTGCTACTGCGTATCGTCTCGGACATAACTCTATTGGATCGGTGTTGGCTGCCCTCACCCCTTCAAACCCCAAGCGCGTAAAAATCATGGATGTGAACGATTTTCATAACATTTATGGTCATGCGCATGAAGGGCTGCTTAGGACCACTGCAAAGCGACTAGGTATCGAGTTGACCGGTAAAATGCATGCTTGTTCGGGATGTTCGATGGGAAAAGCAATTCGTAAGGCGATTGCTCATGTGACTACAAATAGATCAGACAAAAAGTTAGACAGAGTTTTTGTTGACCTGGGAGGGAAGAAGGGCGTTGCGTCCAACGGGGGCAAACATTACCCCATGATATTGAAGGATGACTTCACAAGGCGTGCATGGATGTATTTCCTAAGAAGTAAATCAGACGCTGGCAGTGCTTTCCGAAGTTTTCTTGCGAATGTGCGTGCTGATGGGATCCCATCATTGATTGAGATTGTTAGATCTGACAATGGAGGGGAATTTTTCGGTGGAGAATTTGCATCTGTGTGCAATGAGCTCTTGATTAAACAAGAGTTCACCCCGGCTCACAGTCCCGAATTCAATGGTGTTGCGGAACGTGGTTTGGGATTGATAGAAGAGACCGCAATGGCGGCTCGTATTCAGGCGAAAGTTCTGTTTGAGCATGCGCAGTTACCTAAGACTGATAGACTCTGGGCGGAGGCCATGCACTGGGCCTGCGAGGCACTCAATCACACGGCTTGTTCTGCTAACCCCGACTCCAAATCGCCGTATGAAACGTGGTATGGGGAAGCTCGTCCTGCTAGGCCGTATCCGTTTTTGAAGCCAGCGTACTGTAAATGGCAGCGACCGTCTAAGCTGCTACCGAAGGGTGAGAGTTGCTTTTATGTTGGTCCTTCGAGAGACCACCCACGTGATTGTCATAGAGTACTCACCAGAGCTGGGACTATACAGGAAACGAGAAACGTAACGTGGGAAGCGTTGCCGTCACAGCTCCCTCCACCGCAACCTCCGCTGCCGATAGAGGTCGCAGAGGAGGAAGGGGAGGAAAGTGACGACGATGTAGAAGCTGAGGTATGGCCACTTGTAGGAAGAGGAGTTGCCCACCCACTTTTTCGAAATAGTGCAGCGGTCCTCCCAACCTCCCCTAGTAGATCAATTCCCTCCATATCTTCTTAGTCCACTGATGGGGAGGAGCAGGGAGGGCAGGAAACGGGGGAAGTAGAGTCCGAAGATCCGGGAGAGCATGATGAAGTAGAGTCGGAGGATCCGGGAGGGCATGAAGAAGAGTCTATGGATCAGGGAGGGCAGGATACAGAGTCGGCGGGGCCGGGAGGGCAGGAAGTAGAGGTGGAGGCATCTCCTCCAGCCGCTCGCCGTCCGCAGCATGTCGTTGACCTTGCTGATTTTAATACTGCTGCGCGTGAGAGTGATGAGGTCCGAGCTGGTAGAACTCGTGCGCAAACCCGTGCGATAAATCAGCAGAGCGTATCCGGCCTTGTGGCTACTCTAGGACCCATCTCAGCATCAGAGATAGTACATGCACTCATAGCGGAGCAGAGAGCAGGTGATGCAGTAGAATTGCCGAAAGAGCTCATTCAGGACGTAGAGCCAGAGCCTGGTAGCTATCAAGAAGCTCTGCGATCGAAGCATGCCACGATTTGGGATAAAGCCATGTCTGCAGAAGTTGAAGGCTTGATACGAGCAGGAACGTTCACGTTAGCAGCAAAAATCCCAGAAGGTTGTAACGTGATTGATGCTAGATGGGTTTTCAAATGGAAAGCAGACGAAACAGGAAAGATAGTAAAGGCCAAGGCTAGGCTTGTAGCGAAGGGCTTCAAGCAGAAGCATGGGGTGGACTATCTTGAGACTTTCTCGCCTACTGCAAATGCTGCATCGATTCGATTGGTAGTAGCATTGGCGTGCAAGTATAACTTGGAATTACTCCACTTAGACATTGAGCAAGCCTTTGTTCAGTCGAAATTGGATCACGAGGTGTTCATGAAGTTGCCTCCTGGCTGTGATTCGATGTCAGGAAAAATTGTCCGTTTGAACAAGAGTTTGTACGGTTTGAAGCAAGCACCTAGAACATTTTACAAGAGGCTCGTGTATGACCTGCTTCGGATAGGTTTCGAGCAGTCTCTGTCTGATCCCTGTGTCCTGCGTTTCATGATGGAAGACGAGGTGATGGGTATAATCGCGATTCATGTGGATGACATTCTGTATGCAGAAACGAAGGGGCTTGCCGAGGTGATTGTAGAGGCACTAGGTGACTCTCTTCCTACGAAGAATTTGGGAGAAGTCATATTCTTTCTTGGTTGCGCATTTAGTCGCGACCGCGAGGCTGGCACGATTGAGATTTCTCAAGAGAGTTGCATCAGGAGTGTTCTAGAGAGATTCAATATTTGTCGCACCAGCTCGATCCCCGCTTCCCCTGCCAACGATAGCAGGTCCGTGATGGAGGATGAGGAGGCAGGAGATGTGCCGTTCAGGGAAGTGGTGGGATGCCTGATGTGGATCGCCAACAATACGAGGCCAGAAACTTCGAACGCTTTGCGGACGGTGGCGAGACACTCTCACGAGCCCAAGAAGAGCGACTGGAAGGCAGCCCAGAAGATTTTGAGTTATCTTAAGGAAACGGCACATCTAACTCTGAAGTACAAGCAGGACACTACGGTAGACGTAGGCACGTTAGTGTACGTAGCGCTGACTTTGCCAGCAAGGCCACTGACCGTAGATCAGTTTCTGGAGCATTAGTTCTTGTAGCTGGCTGTCTTGTGTCTTGGTTTTCTTGGACGCAGAAATGTGTCTCACTGTCAACTTCTGAAGCAGAGTATATTGCGATGGGTGACGGTGTTAAGGAGGCTCTCTTTGTGAACGGGATGCTTCAGTTCTTGAGACCTAGTGCGAAGCCTCGGAAAATTGACGTCTTTGAGGACAACGAAGGAGCGATTGCGCTTGCAGAGAATCCGCTTAGCTCGAGTAGGAGTAAGCACATTGACGTGAGGCACCACTTCCTTAGGAATTTGACGGAGGAGGGCGTGATCGAGGTCACCCATGTCCCAAGCAAGGAGCAGCATGCTGACATCCTTACAAAGGCTCTACCGAGGAACCTTTTTGAAGTTCACGGTGACTTTGTCCTTGGCTCAGTAGCTGAGAAGTAGAGATCTGAGTTAGTGTCTGATTTTGTATTATTAGGTCTGGTCGAGACGACAGCCCCAAGGGAGGGTGTTCGTGAATTGTGGCTGTAGTATCGATTGTATGACGTGTATTGCGGTGTAGTAGGTGATACTTGGTATTGTAACGAAGCGTAACACAAAGGTCAGTAGGTTGCAGCGAGTAGATTGCAGCGAGTAGATTGCAGCGAATAGATTGCAGCGAATAGATTTATTGCTGAGGAAAAGCTGTAGCGAGAAGCCATGGGGAGCGCAGCCCACCGTGCTCACTCCACCTTGCCGACCTGTCTCTCCGGGCAAGTTCTCATTAATACACCACATATTTCTCCAGAAGTCACGAGTTTCCAACACAGGAACCAGATGGTCCCATCGAACGCTACACCACAACAACCAAAAAGACACGCAAAAACCAAAACGACAACATCACAGACGGCGATCGGCGCAAAAACACGGAAGCGAAAAATAAACAACACACCGGCCTTGACCTGCCGCCGGGGGGGACAAAACATCGTTCAGGCATATGCCCCGGTGACGTCGTAAACCCAAGGCCGCGTACCGCTACTCACGTACCCCGAGTATGCAACACCGAAACTAGAGTTGGGACCCAGAAGTCGCGGCTCTCTTGCTACCCCCTCTTGTGTATCTTTCTGCAGCGCCAGATCTTCTTTTATTACTTGTCCTAGCGGGCAGGCGAAGAGTCCCAGGGTTGGCCATGAAGAGAACCGGCCCCCGCCCTCCCGTCGTTGTAGTTCGTACCCGGCCTGTTGACCATCGTCAGAATTGGTCCACGAGGGCTACGGCGACTGTCGGTGAAAAGCGATCAGACAAAATAACACGTGGCGACAAAATAGCCCGAGAGTTTGGAGTGTGCGGCACTGGCAGAGACGACTACCGTCGGAAAAGAGCAAGACAANGCGGTGTTCCCCTCGCCTTTTCCGTCAGCCAGTGCTCGTGCAGGAGGCCAACGTGGAATCTGAATCGAGGGCTGTGCATCATCGCCGCCAACACGTGGCGACAAAATAGCCCGAGAGTTTGGAGTGTGCGGCACTGGCAGAGACGACTACCGTCGGAAAAGAGCAAGACAAGGTAGTCGAAGGCCTTGCCATCACGCTGCTCGTGAATCCCGAAGACGTAGATGACGTCGCAAAGCTTGCCCTCGATGTACTCGAACGTGCGCCCCGAAGCTGCCGCGCGTTCTGGTCCATCCACCTCCCCACCACCCATTTGGCAAAACATGATGGCCGCGGTCATCTCTTGCTCCATGAACCGCCGCGGCCAGCCCGCGATGGAGAACTCGCAGGACTCGAGCACACTTTTGAAAGCGGTCGCTGGTGGAGCCGCCATCCGATTTGGCGGCAGATGGTCGATGGCGTCACGCAGCATGGCGGCATCCTTCTGGGAACGGATGGTGCCCGAAAAGTACTTCGCCACGTCCAAAAGCGAGGAGCGCGAGTTGCACTTATCCCTGATGAGGGCGTTTTGGCCTGTTGTGTGTGCGGCGGACCAACACGCAACAAGCGACACACAAACCAAACCGTGGGTTAGTGATTGGTGTCATCAGACATCCTCGAAGTCGCAGTACGCCAAACGACTGAAAGAGAAGCGTATGACTTGACGCACCCATCGCCACCGATGTATGTACACGTGAGCCGGACGATCGCAGTGCACCGACCAAGTACATCAATCCCGAACAACAGGAGTCGGACAAAAGCCACATGTTTTGAAGAGGTCGTTAACATCAGCGGCATGTAGGGAGTTGTTTACTGGTCATTCACTGACGTCGTACGATGAATTCGTCAAGATGCACTCACCAATGGCATAGTAAATAGGGGGCAAGAAAGATAGCCGCCTCCAACCCCTGCAGACGTTGAAAAAGTCCCAACAATAACAACAACGCTACATGCGCTGTCGTTCTCGAACAAAACGCTCATGGCAGATGACGCATAAACGAACCTTCAATTCTTGATGTCGTCCACGAACCCAGGGAGAACACCACGGGCGGCACATATTCCGCCCACCGTGCGCGGTCGTCATATACCACTCGCATGTACTTCTCCGCCTTCGGGTACTTTTCGATGAAGGCGTTGAACTTCCGTTCGAACTTCGTCAATGACAGCTGCTGACGCACACACCTGAACTCGTCCATGAAAGGCTGCGGAAAACACAAACGACGTAGGCCGGGTGGGTGTTGCGTGAGTTGGGGCCTCGGCAATGAGCTACCGGTCTGTGCGATTGAATGCCACTGACAACCCCGTACACTTTGTTAGCGCTAAGGCGAGACGAGGAGAGGATTGGAAAAACTCAGCGACAAACCATTTGTGCTTACAACCTGCTGCTGCTGCTGCTGCTTTTTCTGTGGGCACTGGACGTCCTGAGGTATGTTTCCGTCGAAGCCGAGGTCGTCTCCGCATCACGGTCTACGCAGAGACGCTGGATATCACTCTTCCAAGTAGACGACAACGTTACTGATCAATGACAACGCACCAACTCGCATAGGGGATACAAGCGGGAGTGGGGGACGGGGGCTAGAGTGGGCAGCGTACGTCGCGCGACCAGGACAATACGAGAGGCCAGACTAACCACGCCAACACACACAGTAGAGCGCACCTTCATGTCCCCACCAAGGACTTTAGCGAGGGCCTTGATGATGTTCTGTTTGAGGTGCCATAAACAGCGCCTCGCGAGCGCGTCCGGGAACACCTCTCGCACTGCCGCCGTCATCGCCGCAACCGCGTCCTGGATGAAGATATCCGGCTGCTTCCCCCCGCGAGACTCCAACGCACTCTTCAACATCCACAGGAAAGTGTCCGTTGTGGTGTCCGCCGTTATGCTTTGGCCGACGATCCGCGTCCGATACTCTGAATCGATGACAGCGAGCACACCGAGGGGCATCCGGTATCTGTTCTTGACGGCGGTGTCGTCGTAGAGCGCAACGTGACCGCACCGATTCCAAAGCGCCACCTGCGTATTCAAAGCATGACGTCGAACGGGGTCGAGAGCACTTAATTGTGGGTGTGACGTGTGTTGGACGCGTCACAACGCACCCCCACCCTTGCCTACGGCCTGCTTTCGGTCAGACGTCCTACATTTGCGGACGGCCAAGCGGTACGTGCGAGATGCTAAATGAAAGCAAACCTTCCGGCTGGGGAATATTCGTATGGGGCACAACGCCCGGCGACCTACCTGCTCTCTCGTTTGCCACCAGATATGCGTCAGGCGGCCGCTGTCATCCATCTTGATCTCGCACAGTCCGCCGTCGGCCGTCGCGGCCATGACCTGAAATTGCAACATGTTAAGCGCCCGGAAAAATATAGGGCATCAGCGCAAATCCACGACGACGGCACGGCACACATTTTTTACCGCCAACATTTCTTGGTTTGGTGTCATGGGGCATATATTCTCCCGGTTGTCACCTACGATCGTGTGTGTCTCGCGCCCGGTTGCCGCCTTGAGCAAAACCCAACATGCCACACACAAACATGAGAGGCAACACTCTCAACGGACACATGGACACACCTCTTCGTATGAATCGGCGGCATCTCTCGGCTTCTTCGCCCCGTGCACAGTGGCAGCCGCGTTCTGCACCGCGCGCTTGTTGATGTCGATGTCGCCGTCCTCGTGCAACGCCTTCATTGCTTTTGTCACCTCTTTTGGCTTCATCCCATGACCTGCGCCGTACGGGAGAGCCGGGAGCACAAAAATAAGTGGCGTGTCACCGACAAACAGGGTAACAAGGTAGAGGCGACAGCAGTACCACGCTTCAAGGGCCGTTCTTCATGCGACATCATGACTACCAACCATGACAAACCGTGGGATACGATGGGAGCTACTGTAGACCTACTCCAATGCGTTCAATCTTCTCACTTGTCATCTGCTTCACTTGTCCCAGCTGCTCCTCCGTTAGTTTTGATGCGAGGCGAAGCTTGACGTCGATGGCCTTGCGGTTGACGCTGTGATTGTGCGTGAGCTTCATGTTGCTAATCCTTGGCCACCTGTGGGATACGTGGGATATGTGTGAATGTAATGGATCACAACATGGATCATGGATCACATGACACCCGACCGACTCCTCCCCGATATNCGTTAGTTTTGATGCGAGGCGAAGCTTGACGTCGATGGCCTTGCGGTTGACGCTGTGATTGTGCGTGAGCTTCATGTTGCTAATCCTTGGCCACCTGTGGGATACGTGGGATATGTGTGAATGTAATGGATCACAACATGGATCATGGATCACATGACACCCGACCGACTCCTCCCCGATATTAAATACGCAGTTCGGACATCTTTTTCAATCTCACGCTCGAAGACCTCAGACACCTGTTGGACCCTTTCTCCGTCCACTGCACCAAGACATGTTCCGCGGGAGACCAGCTACGTACCTCAAACGGACAACCAGTTCTCGCGCTTCCCTTTACGTTCCGCCGTTGTACCCCAGGTGCTGCAACACGCAGCGACATGGGAGACGGAGTAGAGGCGGTGTGTCATCGGCGGTGCGTCACGCATTCACCTGCACCGAAGCATGCATGCTAACAACAGGCTTGCGCGCGACTCGCCCCGTATTCGTCGCCTCAACCATTCTCCTAGTATGCCCAAGTGCCACGAGGTACAGCACAGCAGGGACAATCCATTGGCGTGCTACACCCACGGAACAAACATTGCCGGTGTCACGCCGAACCGCACTTGTCAAACATCAACCCGTCTCGCCTGCGTTTTCCGGCGGAGGGCTGGTGGTCAATATCTGCTGCTGTTGTTGCCGTACGGGGTGGGCTTGTGCAGGGTAGCCCGCAAAAGCTCCCGCAGCGCCAGCATCACGAGCACCGTAACAGGCCGGCAGAGCAGCACTGGATGGAAGCATTCCTAGCAATGAAACCACCGCACGGCAGGCCACGGGTCCCACGACGCGAGCATGGAGGGTAGACACATGAAGTTAAGGGGTTGGGCAAGTGCGTGCACATGCCAGCACGTCTACCAGCCCAGTATTGTAGCAC